CCAGAATCCAGGACTGCCACTCCTGAGCCCAGCCATGCTCCAGGACAGCCATTCCCCAGCCCAGCCCAAATCCAAGACCTCCACTTCTGAGCGTGGCCCAGATCCAGGACCCCCACTTCAGAGCCCAGCCAAGCACTAGGACCGCCACTCCCGAGCCCAGCCTAGAATCCAGGACCGGCACTACCGAGCCCAGTGCAGAATCCGGGACCGCCACATCCGAGCCCAGCCCTGGCTCCAGGACCACCACTCCTGAGCCTAGCCCAGAATCCAGAACCGCCACTCACGAGCCCAGCCCAGAATGCAGGACAGCCACTCCCGAGTCCAGCCTCTGCTCCAGATTTCCCACCCCAGAGCCCAGCCCATGCTCCAGGATTGCCACTCTTGAGTGTAAACCATGCTCTAGGATGCCACTCCAGAGCCCATCCCAGGATCCAGAACCGCCACTCTCGAGCCCAGCCTGGGCTCCAGGACAACCACTGCCAAGCCCAGCCCAGAATCCAGGACTGCCACTCCCAAGCCTAGCCCAGGCTCCAGGATGGAGACTCCTGAGCTCAGTGCATGCTCCAGGACCGCCACTCCCGAGCCCAGCCCATGCTCGAGGACTGCCACAACCGAGCCCACCCTGTGCTCCAGGACAGCCACTCCTGAACCTAGCCCGGGCTCCAGGATGGCCACTCCCAAACCCAGCCCAGAATCCAGGACCGCCACTCTGGAGCCCAGCACGGGCTCTAGCACCACCACTCCCGAGCCTAGCCGGTGCTCCAGGACCACCAAACCTGAGCCCAGCCCATGCTCCTGGACCGCCACTTTGGAACCCAGCCCAAAATCCAAGCCACCACTCCTGAGCCCAGCCCAGAATCCAGGACCACCACTCCCTAGCCCAGCCAATAATCCAGGACTGCCACTCCACAGACCAGTCCATAATCCAGGACTGCCACATTGGAGCCCAGCTGGGGCTTCAAGTCTGCCACTCCTGCCCTGCCCATGCTCCAGGACCACCATTCCCCAGCCCAGCCCAAAATCCAAGATCTCCACTTCTGAGCCCAGCCTGGAATCCAGGACCCCCACTCCAGACCCCAGCCCAGAATCCAGGACAGCCACATCCGAGCCCAGCCAGGGCTTCAGGACTGCCACTCCCACCCAGCTCATGCTCCAGGACCACCACTCCTGAGCCCAGCCCAGGCTCCAGGATGGCGACTCCTGAGCCCAGTCCATGCTCCAGGACCGCCAATCCCAAGTCCAGCCTGTGCTCCAGGACCACCACTCCAGAGCCTAGCCATGCTCTAGGACCACCATTCCGCAGCCCAGCCTGGAATCTAGGACCGCCACACCCGAGCACAGCCCAGAATCCAGGACCGCCATACCTGAGCCCAGCCCTGGCTCCCGGACCACAACTCCCAAGCCAATCCGAGGTTCCCTCAGTATTTTAAACAATGCTATTTTGCTTGGGTCTTTAATACAGGGCTGAATTCCAAGTACTGTCCTAGGCACTGAAGACATAGTGATAAACAAAACTGACCTACTTTTATGGTATCTACCTTCTATAAGGGTATACTGTAATGGGGAAGGTACAAAGTCGACCAGTTTGATGCAGTAGAAAAGAGTGGCTGAGAACATTGTCTCTGGAGTCAAACCAGATCGCCAATCCTGCTCCTTCACCTAATGGCTGGGTGACGTTAGGCAACTTATTTAACCTTTTTAGGCCTTAGTTTTATCATCTATAATGGTACCTAGTGTGGTTCTAGGGATTAAATAAGACAATGTGAGTAAATGCTTAGCCCAGTGCACAGTAGTACATGGTAAATAAATAGATGCTATTTGTTATTATAAAAGTAATAACAAGTATCATGAGTGTTATAAAAGGATAAGTACAAGATCACATGAAAGCATAAAACAGGAAGAGATAATCTATTCAGGAGGCCTTAGGGTACTAGGAATTAGCTAGGAGAATTAGGGTGGGAGTAGTGAAGATTGGTAAGAGTATCTTGGGGACTGGGAAGAGTGTTATGACATGAAATGATGATGGAGGGCCTTATAAGTTAGAGAGTAATTTTGAGCTTTATTCATTAGATGGCCAAATTTAGAGAGCTGATTGTTAACATAGAAGGTTTTAACTGGTTATTAGACATAGCCATTAAAAATTAAATAATGTAAAATTGCAATTAAATAAAGACAAAGGTAATAAATACTAAACACCCATCATTTCCTAATTTTTTTTAGTATTATCTATACTCCTAAGATTATTTATGTCTGTTATATCTGTATGATATAAATGTTATATAGAATAGTGTGGTGCTTTACATTACTTCACAACTCTGTGATCAGTGATGTCATGTTGGTAGCTTGAAACCAGCAATGATAGAAGTATTTATATCAGAGAAATTGGGAAAACACTACAAATCAGGGCTTTTCCCCTACCCTGGAGATCCTGTTATTAAACATTTAGTAACACATCACTGATTATAGAAGACAGGTTAGGAATGCATGAATGGAAGCATCAATCCAGTTAAGAGGCTGTTGTAGTAATCCAGAGGGAATAGTCAAGGAAAGATGACCTCCCAGTTTCTGAGTGGATTGTGTTTTCCTTTACTGAGAAAGGGAATATGGGAAATGGAGTAGGTTTGAGGGAATTTGAGGCAATTTCATTAGTACAGTTTTGATGTGAATCTAAGGAACTGAAGAGAGATCTGGGAAATACTGAGACACCTGGCCAATAGATCTGGAACTCATTAAGAGAGATTTGGACTGGAGATACTGACTTGGGAGGCATCAACAAGTAAATGTTAACTGAGACCACAGAACAGTTGAAATCTTTTTAGTAAGAGTATGAAGACCTAGGTCGGGGTGAAGAGAGATTGAAGATGGGCTAAAGAAGTAAGATGAAAACCCCACAATTAGGGTCAAATGAAAAGTAGAGTATTTGAAAGAGGAAATGATCACATGCCATGAAAAAGTCATGTAGGAGTGACAACTCATGTTAGCAAATACAGTTTCATGAGATTATTACACTTGATCTTAGCCAAAAGGCTGAGAAGCGATTCAGAAGATTATTGAGGAGATTTACACTGGAGTGGGTGGAGTAAGAGATAAGAAAAATGGTGACAGTCAAGTTTAGGCAACATAACATTTTTTATATAAATCTATCATAACGGGGATGAAGTCTACCAATGTTCTCGGAGACGAGTTAGTTAATATTGTTTGTTTATATGAAATAGAAATGTATTTTTATTATACCTAATGTTTTTTTAAGGCCTAAATTTCTGGGGTTACACATGAAAATGTTAATTTCATAGGCGGCAAATGGTCAAATATGGAAAGGAGGTATGCATGCTACTGGACCATGGTCCATCTCTTAAATCCAATATTATTGGTGCCTTGACTCCTCCCTTACTCTCATCTTCCAAATCAAATTATCAAATATAGGAGTTTCTCTTCAAACATTTCTCAAATATGTCCATTTCTTTCCATCCCTCCTGTTAGTATCACTCTAGTATAGGCCACTGGATTATTAGTAATATAATATTTTACTGCAGGTTCCTGTTTTTTCTCTATCAGCTCTCACCTCTTCTACTCTAGTGCTGCTGGTGACGCCAGCAATTAACTATTGTTTAGTTGACACTATAGCAGAATTTCTCTGTGAAACAGTATGTAAATTAACATTCTTTAATAAGCTCTTTTCTCATCAAAATCATCTTTTGATGATGCTTGACCAGCACTTTAAATACTATAATTCTCTACACTGAAGCCAGAGGGCCTTTTAATATGCACATCTAATCATTCCAGTCTTTTAAAACCCTCCCTGGCTTCTCAAATACTAATTGGATAAAATAGGAAATCCTTAAAGGAGCATACGGGACCAAATCTTCAACCTTTGGATGAAATCTCACATCCTTTGGGAAGTGCTCTTTGACTTTACAAGGCTAAGGTGGGTCTGCCTGAATGTCTCTTCTGTGGCACTTAACTGTAATTATTTATGTCTTTTTTCTCATTATACTCTAAACCCCAGGAGTATAAGAATTTTCTGGATCCCTGGCACAATGGCAGGCAATTAAGAACTTGTACACTTTTGATGCGTGTATGAATAAAGCACTACATTTGCATGAAATAGGTGAAAAACAAAAATCACAAAGATTTTTTTTTAAGTGGCAACTTTTAATAAGATGGGTACATTTAGTCATAACGAGGTAGGGAAAAGGTCAAGGATAGAATTTCTACATTCTAAGATCATATTAACTTGTGAAGTATATAAAATTAGAACTGTTTGCACTTAACTTTTTTAATGCTTCTTTTCTTCAGCCAAAGGTAGGCACTCGCAGAGAAGAGAGTAAATAGTTACCGAGCACTTATTATATTTAATGTAGTGTTCAAAGTGCTTTCAAGAGTTCTGATTTGACAGAACTAAATTTTGATTGTTCTTCCAGCAAACGAAGTAAAAACAAACCGTAGGTTCTTTTTATTACTCTGTTCTAGTAAGAATAGCAGGCTTATCTTTTGTAGTTTCATTAACATTGCTTATTATCAATGGTGATGACAGTTCCTCTGCAGTTACTGTATGTGACTATTAAAAATCTAAATGCTTCCCATGTCAATTCAGCTAGTGAGAATTTCCTACTTTTAACGGTAACGGATTTTAAGGTGATTGCCGACTTGAACAGGAAGATCTTGCTTCCTCTTAACGGCTTCATTAATGTCAAGTCCGGTCTAATATATAGGAGTAAAAAAGTAGAAAATGAAGGTATCCTCCTGTCACTTTTTCTACTAGGAATAATAACCGTACAGAACTTGGATTTCTTTTATTAAAGGGAGTAAATCTTACCCGAAGGGAGAGAAAAATTGGACAGATTTGAGAGACACACACAAAGAGCAAATATGTTTCCCTGCTACCACCTAGGTAGTGAAGTTGTTAGAATTACTTAGAATCCTCCTGTTCCTTCCACACAAGCAATACTCAGTCTAGCAGCTCGCGTTTTCGTCTCACCCCCACTCCCTGCCCAGGTTACCTGTGAAAGCTGATGTTAATGTGCTTGTTGTAGGTAGTAGCACAGCCCGCGGCGGCGCAATTGGTCGGCATTTCCCTTTCCCCCTCATTCGGCGCTGTCTTAAGCCTGTTCTGAGGCGCTGGCTGCTACGATTCCTTTGGGCAGAAACTGGGCAAGTGAGGCAGGGGAAGGGCCCACCGAGCTGAGTCGTGGGAGCTGGGTGGGAAGAAAGACGTGTGTTTGTGTGTGGCGGGGCGAGGCGGGGCGGGGTGTGTGTGTGTGTGTGTGTGTGGGGGGGGGGGGTCAACCTTCCCTTTCTCTTTATTAATATGGCGGACTTGAGCCAGCAGAGCCAACAGTCCTGGAACTCCAGTCGCCTTCCCTTGCCTTCACCAACATGGCGGAAACACCCAGACCCCCTCCCTAGTCTCCAAAAGGGAGTGGGACTATTGCGTCTCTTTGGCAGCTGTCCTCGGAGCAATTAAAAAGAAGAGGTATTCTCCACCCCCTGGTCCCCCATTACTATGAAACTCTCGAGGCCAAGATTTAAGAACAGGCCCGCCCACCCCACCACGCACCCAGATATATCAATCCAGAGTCTGAGGTGGGTGTAAGCGTTGGCTGGAAAGACAAACCCTAGAGAGGAAAGAGAGACTACAAGTCCCACTGAGAGTCGCGTTGTCTTAATTATCGCGGGAACTGGGAGCCTTGTTTCCTGCGTGTCACAGGAAGTGACATCATGGGAAGAGCCACTTCCAGAGCCCCTTTCTCGCGAGGCGGAAGAGCGCCGATCGCGGAGGAGCAAGGGGGCGCTAGGCAAAGGAACTGGGTTGCGACGGTCCGGCGAGAAAGGGTTGGGGTGCGGGGAAGTTGGGGAGCAGAGCCAGCTATAGGTGTCTGAGTAGGGTAAGGCCGCACCGACCCGGTCCGTTAGGAAAGAAGGGAACCGAGGAGGAAGGCAATTGTCGGGCGGATCCCGGACCGAGGGCTAAGGTTGTGAGGCAGGCGCTGCTTCGGGGATGGCGACCGCAGATACTCCGGCCTCCAGTGGCCTCTCGCCCAAGGAAGAAGGGGAGCTAGAAGATGGGGAGATCAGCGACGACGATAACAACAGCCAGATACGGAGCCGGAGCAGCAGCAGCAGCAGTGGCGGCGGGCTGTTACTGTATCCGCGGCGAAGGCCTCCTCACACGGCCCGGGGCGGTGGATCCGGCGGAGGCGGTGGCTCCTCGTCGTCGTCGTCGTCGTCTCAGCAGCAGCTGAGGAATTTCTCACGCTCGCGGCACGCGTCGGAGCGGGGCCACCTCAGGGGACACAGCAGCTACCGACCCAAAGAGCCATTCCGGTCTCACCCGCCCTCTGTGCGGATGCCTTCGAACTCACTGTCCGAAAGCAGCCCCCGGCCGTCCTTCTGGGAGCGGAGCCACATCGCCTTGGACCGTTTCCGCTTTCGAGGCAGGCCTTACCGGGGTGGGAGTCGCTGGAGTCGGGGACGTGGAGGGGGTGAGCGAGGAGGCAAGCCGGGGGGCAGACCACCTCTGGGAGGAGGAGCGGGACCCGGATTCAGCAGCAGTCAGAGCTGGCGAGAGCCCTCTCCACTTCGGAAGAGTTGTATCCTTAACGTGGCGGTCTGCCCTGGGTGTGTCCCAGAAGTTCCTTTAGCGTCATTACTAGGTCTGAGATGAGTAACTTTTCTGAACCTTCAGAACCGCTTATTTGTCACTATGTCAATTTAAAGTAAGTTCTTTGGTCGTCCGCATGTGTCACGCTATAGTGTTTAAGATTGCTTTATTGGGTATGTTGCTTTTTAACATTAACGTGTCATGGTTTGGGGCCAAGCTAGTGGAATCTAAGTCTCAAATCAGATCTGTAATAGTTCATCAGAAGCCCGAGTTTCATTAGCATTTGTTTCTGCTGGCACAGAAACTTTGTATGTGAGGTTGACTCAGAAATAGGGAGAAAAAAAATAGTCAAACAGTTTGGGGAATACTGTTGCTTATGTCATATTGCACTTTTGACATTGAAAATTATGAAGTTTCATTCTGTGCAACCCTACTGTTTTTATTTGTTATTTTGTTTTTACCTTTTTTGATTTATTCTTACATATTGATGCCATTTAAATTGGAAAAAAAAAGACCTGGTATCTTCAGAACCAACTCTATTTAGAGCTTTTAAAATTCATATATCTTTTTGGAAAACTTGATCTCCTTAACGTCTCTATTTCTTACTTTCACTTTTTGGACATTTTATAACTCTTAGTGCTGACAAATGTGGGCCAAAGAGACAATGATAAACTTAACGGTATTTTAATTTTAATATATTGGAAGTCACGGGGCATATGGGAGGGTGGAGATTATAGAGAGGTTGGGAAAATGGCAAAATATCTGATTTTTGTTCCCTCTAACTTAATTCTTGGTTATCATTAACATTCCTGCGTTTACTCAGGATTATACCGAGGAATCAATCTTCTGAAGGTTTGCTGTTTTGTAATGGGTTTGTAGAACAGTGTCTTGACTTACTCTATGATAACTGCATAAAAATAGTTTACTAAGCACTTTTATTACTGGTTGTCATCTCCATGGTGTAATGACTTTTTAATATATTCATTATATGTGAGACTTACATATAATGACATTTGTTTGGAAGACACTCAACATTATTTTAATAAAATACTTAGAGCCATATGGTCTTTTCCAGATGTCAAGATATAAAGGGGGCAAGAGATGTAGGTTTATGTAAGAAATATTGTAGCAGCTTCTGGTGCTAGTGCCCCGAAAAAGAACTTACTTCTACAACCAAAAGTTGGGTTAGGAGCATTCCAGGATTATTTCAGAAAAAATCATGTAGGTATTTAACTTTTTAAAAGAGATGTAACTTCAGTAAAGTTAGAGAACCAGTCCCAGCCCAAGATATTTTTTAACCAAGGATTTCATAATAGTCAATTGTGAATCTAAAAACAAAAACATATTTAAGCATATATATGTGTATATTTTTAAGAATAGAAAAAATGAAACTTGTAATTTGTGTTGGAGAGACAAACGGAAATAATTATAGTTTAATGTAAAAAGTTCAAATTGAGGTACATAAAATTATTAGCTCAAAGTTTTTTCTCAATTTATCCTGTATTAGAAAAAGGGGTGATGCCTATCTCCTGCCTTTGCCTACTTTCTGTCCATTCATTTAGTACCAGTTTGGCCTCTGCCATATGTCTTTATTAATTGAGTTTATATGTTTTTGTTAATAAACAGGCATGATGTTGTGAAAAAAAGTGCAGGAAGATATTCAGTCTGATTTCTGTAGTATCTTAATCAGAAATGAGCTATCTTGCTGTTTTTCTTTTCACAGATGCTGCACTTTAGAAAAGGATACTTGTTTTGATCCTCTTCTCATTATTTTTCTTGTGAAGTATTATTAACCCATCCTAGCGGTGGTATTCTTTGTAAGAATTTGTGAAGGGAAAGCATAGTTCCCGGACACTTTCGTATAATGTGAGCAAACAAAATTTGTAATACAAAATTTTATTAATTCAGATTCCTTTAATAAGATTGTACTCAGTTTAATTCATATTTTCATTGCTGATTATAATAGGATTTTCATTTTACAAATATTGCATTAAGAAAGAATAAGGATTATTATTCTGTGATTCATTTCCATTATCTAGAAGTGAAGTGGCATGACTACAAGTGGTTGTTTTTTTCTTAACTTCTTTCTGTAATTATTAAGATATGCTGGATGCAGCTTTAAAGAACAGAGTAAACCAGTATTCTATTGCAGTACTTATTTTCATTCTCATTTTTAATTTTTCTTACTTATAGACGCTTGGTCAGTTAATTTTAGTATCTGTCTTCTTTGGATGACTACTGTTTTATTAAACTTTCAGGTCTCCTGAGAGCTAAAATATTAGGCCAGTGTCTCTCATCAGTAGAAAGACATTCTATTTTCACCTGCAGTTGTACAGGTTGACTAGCAGTTCTATTTTCTAACCAGGTTTCAGTTAGAAATTGCATTTAGAGCAGCTTAAAATTAAATCTTGTAAGTGTTGGTTTCACCCTGGCTGTCTTGTATAGACAGAAGTAAAAGATTTCATTTAGCCTTGAAGGAGATTAGTCAGTTACAGTCATAACTATTACTTTTCCTCATTTTCCTGTCCTTTTGTTATTTCTTGTTAGTATATGGAATCTTTACAAATGTTTCCAAAGTCCTCTTATTATTATTATTTTTTTAAAGATTTTATTGGGAAATTGGGGGACAGGAAGAGCGTTGGGGAATTGGGGAAGGAGAATAGACAAGTTGCTGTCCTTCTGTTCCTGAGTCTAGTTGTGGAGGACTTCACTTCACTGGCCCATGTTGGTATTATCATTGCGCTCTTCCCGGGTGAGACAGATTGGTTACCAGTCACTGGATGGCCCCTCATAGTGGTTCTTGGCAGCTCATGCCAGCTGTGGGCCACTCATGGTAGCTTACGGGCAGCCCCACTGCAGCCTACGCTGTCGCCGGCGACTCATGGCAGCCCAGCTCCAGGTCGAGCTGTTGTTCACCATCTTAGCTGTAGAGGGCGCAGCTTCACTGGGCCTCTTGTGGGATCTAAACTGGGGTCTTGCTGCTCAGAGCTGGTGTCCCAAGCCAACTCTTAACCAATGCGCCACTCGGCTGGCCCCTCTTATTTTTTTAAATTACTGTGGTTGTGCCATTCCATTGAAAAGGGAGATGCAGGGCCTGCTGAGTGAGCTTTCATGAGCCACTGTGAGTGACCATCCATTGGCTGGTGAGCGACTGCCTCACCCAGGAAGAGGGTAATGATTACAATATGGTCCAATAAGCAAAATGGGCTAGTGAAGCAACATCTTCTACGACTAGACTGAAGAACAAAAGGACAACAACTTGTCTGTTCCCCTTCCCCGGTTCCCCAACACTGTTCCCCTCCCAATTTCCCAATAAAAATTTAAAAAAGAAAAAAGAAAAGTGAGATGCATATAATTACAGAATTTATGTACAAAGATTGCATAATGGGGTGGGGGAGCAAGTAATTCTCTGGTTTCATATAGGTGATATTAGCATGAGGGTTAATTTGAAGAACAGAAAAACCTAGACACAAAGCTATGCATAAATTGTGATAATCTGAAAAGGTGAGATTGGAAAGGAAGTAAAGGCATTATATGCTATTATAAGGATTTGGACTCTATTCTTAGTGGGATTTTAAAAAGGAAAGAGATCAGATCAGATTTGTATTCTAGATTAGTCTAGCAGCAGTATGGGGGATGGCTTGTGAGAAATCGAACCCCGCACTCCTATTACCAGGCCAACCTCCTGTTTTACAGTACGTAAAATTGGGTGTGCATTAGAACACTTAGAGGCTAAGTAGAGTTCACTGGAGAGCACTATTATTGCAGGAGTAGGAGAGAAAGGAGTCATGAAAACTTAAAGGGAAAAAAAAAGAGGTAGGGAAACAAGGGGGGAGTGTAGTTATGGAAGCCAAGAGATGGTTTTACAGTGTCCAGTGCTACAGAGAGGTCAGGTAAAAATTAAGGTTTGAAAACATGGTGGATAAACTCAGTCAGCAGAAGCCAGATTCCATTTGGTTGAAGAGTGATAAGAAACTAGTATTCTTTTAAGAAACTTGGCTCTGAAGAGGAGAGATCAGAGAACTCTTTACTGGAACAGTTTTGCT